CGTGCTGTTTTGATTACGATAGCCTTGTAGAATATAGTTTGATATCAGGTAGCGTGATACCTCCAAATTTATTCTTCTTTCTCACGATTGCTTTGGCTATTCGAGGTCTTTCGTGATTCCATATAAATTTTAGGATTTTTTGTTTGTTTGTTTTAGTTCTGTGAAAAATGCCATTGGTATTTTGATAGAAATTGCATTGAATCTATAGATTGCTTTGGGTAGTATGGACATTTTAACAATGTTAATTCTTCTTATCCATAAGCATGGTATAACCTTTATTTGTATCTTCTTCAATTTCTTTCCTTCCTTCTTTCTGATAAATTTCTGAATACAAGTCTTTTACCTTTTTGGTTAAATTTATTCCTAGGTATTTTTTTGGATGCAGTTGTAAATGGAATTGTTTTTTTAATTTCTCTTTCTGATAGTTCATTATCAGTGTATAAAAATGTAACCGGCTTCTGAATACTAGTTTTGTATTCTGCTACTTTACTGAATTTATTTACCAGTCCTTCTAATAGTTTTTTTGGTGGAATCTTTAGGGTTCTCTCTATATAGTATCATGTCATCTGCAAGTAAAGACAGTTTTACTTCTTCCTTTCCAATTTGGATGCCTTTTATTTCTCTTTCTTGTCTGAATGCTGTGGCTAGGACTTCCAATACTATGGTGAATAAAAGTGGTGAAAGTGAACATCCTTGTCTTGGTCCTGATCTTAAAGAAAATGCTTTTATCTTTTCCCCTTTGAGTATGATGTTAGCTGTAGGCTTGTCGTATATGGCCTTTATTTTCTTGAAGTATGTCCCCTCATTGCTGAGAGTTTTTAACATAAATGGATGCTGAATTTTGTCAAATGCTTTTTCTACATCTATTGATATGATCATATGACTTTTGTCTTTCATTTTGTTAATGTGGTGTATCACATTAATTGATTTGTGGATATTGAACCAACCTTGTATCCCAGGAATAAATTCCACTTGATCATAGTATATGATGATTCTTTTAATGTATTGCTGAATTTGGTTTGCTAATATTTTGTTGATGATTTTTGCATCCATGTGCATCAGGGATATTGACCTATAATTTTTTTGGTAATGTCTTTGTCTAGTTTTGGAATTAGGGTAATGGTGGCCTCATAAAATGAACTTGGGAGCCTTTTCTCTTGAATTTTTTGGAATAGTTTGAGAAGAAAAATGTTAATTCTTATTTGAATGTTTGGTAGAATTTACCTGTGAAGCCATCCAGTCTAGGATTGTTGTTTTTTTTTTTTGGAGTTTTTTGATTACTGATCCAATTTCGTTGGTGGTAATTGGTCAGTTCAGATTTTCTGTTTCTTCTTGATTCAGTCTTGGGAGATTGTATATTTCGGGGACTGTATCCATTTCTTCCAGATTGTCCAATTTGTTGGCATATACTTGCTCTTTGTACTTTCTTATAATCCTTTGTATTCCTGTGGAATTTGCTGTTACGTCTCTGATTTCTGATTTTATTTATTTGGTGCCTATCTCCTTTTTTCTTGATGAGACTAAAGGTTTATCAATTTTGTTTATCCTTTTAAAGAACCAGCTCTTGGTTTCATTGATTTTTTGTATTGTTTTTCTAGATTATGTTTCATTTACTTCTGCTCTGATCTTTATTATTTCATTTCTTCTATTCACCTTGGGTTTTGTTTGCTGTTCTTTTTCTAGTTCTTTTAAGTGTTAAGATTAGATTGTTTATTTGAGGTTTTTGTTGTTTCTTGAGGTAGGCCTGTATCAACATGAATTTCTCTCTTAGGATTGCTTTTGCCATGTCCATAGATTTTGGGTCATTGTGTTTTCATTTTTATTTGTCTTTAGGTATCTTGATTTCTTCCTTGATCTCATTGTTAACCCATTCACTGTTTAGTAGCATGTTATTTAGCCTTCATGTGTTTGTGTAATTTTCAGTTTTTTTCTTATAATTGATTTCTAATTTCATACCATTGTGGTTGGAGAAGATACTTGATATGATTTCAGTCTTCTTAAATTCAGTGAAACTTATTTTGTGGCCTAACATGTGGTCCGTCTTGGAAAATGTTCCATGTTTGCTGTATATTTTGCTGCTTTGGGGTAAAACACTCTGAAAGTTTCATGAAATCTATCTGGTCTAGTGTGTTATTTAAGGCTGCTGTTTCCTTGTTGATTTTCCGTCTGGAACATCTGTCCATTGGGGTCAATGGGGTGTTAAAGTTTCCTACTGGGTTGTATTAATGTCAATCTCTCCCTTTATGTAGGTCTATATTTGTTTTATATGTGTAGATGCTCCTATGTTGGGTGCATATATATTTACTAGGGTTATGTTGTCTTGTTGTATTAATCCCTTTATCATTATGTAATGCCCTTCTTTATCTCTTATTACTGCCTTTGTTTTAAAGTCTTTTTTGTCTTATATAAGTATTGCTACTCCAACTTTTTTTTTCATTTTCATTTACATGAAATATCTTTCCTTTACTTTTAGTCTTTATGCGTCATTTGTTCTGAAGTGGGTCTCTTGTAGACAGCATATGTATGGATCTTTTTTTTTTTTAATCCATTCAGCTATGCTATGTCTTTTGTTTGGGACATTTAATCCATTTACATTTAACATGATTATTGATAGGTCCATATTTATTGCCGTGTTATTAGTCATATTTATTTATTTTTGTTTTCCCTGTCTTTTTAAAGAATTCTCTTTAACATTTCTTATAATATTGGCTTGTTCATGATGAATTTCTTTAGCTTTTCTCTGGGAAGCTCTTGATCTTACCTTCCATTTTAATTGATAGCTTACTGGGTAGAGTAGTCTTCATTGTAGGTTCAAACTTTTCATCACTGTGAATATTTCATGCTAATCCCTTCTGGCGAGCAATGTTTCTGATGAGAAATTAGCTGACATTTTTATGGGAGTACCCTTAAAAGTAACTACCTGCCTTTCTCTTCTTGCTTTTAGGATTCTCTCTTTGTCTTTAACTTTTGGAATTTTAATTACGATGTGTCTTGCTTGTGTGGGCCCATTTGAGTTCCTTTTGTTTGGGACTCTGCACTTCTGGACTTGTATGTCTATTTCCTTCATCAGGTTAGGGAAGTTTGCTGTCATTATTTCTTCAAATAGGTTCTCAATCCCTTGCTCTCTTCTCTTTTTGGTACCACTATGATGCAAATGTTGGTGTGCTTGATATTTGTCCCAGAGGTCTCTTAGATTTTCCTTATTTTTTTTTTTTTTTGATTCTTTTTCCTTTTTGCTGTTCTGATTGGGTGTTTTCTGCTACCTGGTCTTCTAAATCGCTGATTTGATCTTCTGCTTCATCACATCTGTTGATTCCTTTTGGTGTAGTCTTCATTTCAGTTATTGTATTATTCATTTCTCACTGATTTTTTTTTATGTTTTCTGCATCTTTTTTGATGCTTACTATCTCTCTGTTGCAGTTCTCACTGAGCTCATCTCCTAAATTCATTGAGCATCCTTATAACCAGTGTTTTGAACTCTATCTGGTAGGTTGCTTGCCTCCCATTTCATTTAGTTTTTTTTTTTTCTGGAGTTTTATCCTATTGTTTCATTTGCATCATATTTCTTTTCTTTTTCTCATTTTAGTTGTGTTTCTGTGTTCATTTCATTGTATTAGGTAGATTTGTTATGTTCCCAGTCTTGGCCAGGTGGCCTTATGTAACAGGTGCCTTATGTGGCCCAGTGGTTTAGTCTCTCTGATCACATGTACCAGGAGCTCCAGGAATGTTGCTTGTGTGGGTTATGTGTGCTTTCCTGTTATAGTTGAGCTTTGATTGCTGTTGGCATGTCCATGAGTGGGATTGACTCTTGGGCCACCTGGTTGTGAGGATTGGCCACGCCCACAGGGTATGACTTGAGCTGCTGTGTGGGGGCTGGTCCCACATAGTGGGATTGGCCCTAGCAGGCTCATGTACCTGTTGAGACCACCTTTTGGGTGTGTTGCTTGTGGAGCTAGTTAGGT